TGAAGACTTACAACACCTTATAGAAATAACACCAAAGAAGGATGTTCTTCTCATTATAGGGGATTGGAATGCTAAAGTAGGGAATCAAGAGATAAAAGAGATAAAACAAGCTGGTAATCACAAACACTCTTTTCCAACAACACAAGAGACAATTCTACACATGGACATCACCAGATGGGCAACATCGAAATCAGATTGATTATATTCTCTGCAGCCAAAGATGGAGAAGCTCTATACAGTCAGCAAAAACAAGACCTGGAGCTGACTGTGGCTCAGATCATCAGCTTCTTATAGCAAAATTCAAGCTTAAACTGAAGAAAGTAGGAAAAACCACTGGGCCGGTAAGATACAATCTAAATCAAATCTCTTATGAATACACAGTGGAAGTGAGGGACAGGTTTAAGGATTTAGATTTGGTGGACAGAGTGCCTGAAGAAGTATGAATGGAGGCTCGCAACATTATACAGGAGGCAGCAACGAAAACCATCCCAATGAAAAGGAAATGCAAGAAAGCAAAGTGGCTGTCCAACAAGGCTTTACAAATAGCGGGAGAGAGAAGGCAAGCAAAATGCGAGGGAGATAGTGAAAGTTACAGGAAATTGAATGCAGATTTCCAAAAAATAGCAAGGAGTGACAAGAAGGCCTTCTTAAACGAGCAGTGCAAAGAAATAGAGGAAAACAACAGAATGGGAAGAACCAGAGATCTGTTCAAGAAAATTGGAGATATGAAAGGGACATTTCATACAAAGATTACCATAATAAAGGACAAAAGTGGCAAGGACCTAACAGAAGCAGAAGACATCAAGAAGAGGTGGCAAGAATACACAGAGGAATTATACCAGAAATATATGGATGGCTCGTACACCCCAGGTAGTGTGGTTGATGACCTTGAGCCAGACATCCTGGAGAGTGAAGTCAAATGGGCCTTAGAAAGCACTGCTAATAACAAGGCCAGTGGAAGTGATGATATTCCAGCTGAACTATTTAAAATTTTAAACGATGATGCTGTTAAGGTGCTACACTCAATATGCCAGCAAGTGTGGAAAACTCAGCAGTGGCCAGAGGATTGGAGATCAGTCTACATCCCAGTCCCAAAAAAGGGCAGTGCCAAAGAATGCTCCAACTACCACACAATTGCACTCATTTCACACGCTAGCAAGGTTATGCTTAAAATTCTACAAGGCAGGCTTAAGCAGTATGTGGACCGAGAACTCCCAGAAGAGCAAGCTGGATTTCGAAGGGGCAGAGGAACCAGAGACCAAATTGCAAACATGTGCTGGATTATGGAGAAAGCTAGAGTTTCCGAAAGACATCTACTTCTGCTTCATTGACTATGCAAAAGCCTTTGACTGTGTCGACCACAGCAAACTATGGCAAGTTCTTAAAGAAATGGGAGTGCCTGATCACCTCATCTGTCTCCTGAGAAATCTCTATGTGGGACAAGAAGCTACAGTTAGAACTGAATATGGAACAACTGATTGGTTCAAAACTGGGAAAGCAGTACGACAAGGCTGTATATCGTCTCCCTGCTTATTTAACTTATATGCAGAATTCATCGTGCGAAAGGCTGGGCTGGATGAATCCCAAACCGGAATTAAGATTGCCAGAAGAAATATCAACAACCTCAGATATGCAGATGACACAACCTTGATGGCAGAAAGTGAGAAGGAATTAAAGAACCTTTTAATGAGGGTGAAAGAGGAGAGCGCAAAATATGAACTGAAGCTCAACATCAAAAAAACGTAGATCATGGCCACTGGGCCCATCACCTCCTGGCAAATAGAAGGGGAAGAAATGGAGGCAGTGAGATATTTTACATTCTTGGGCTCCATGATCACTGCAGATGGTGACAGCAGTCATGAAATTAAAAGACATCTGCTTCTTGGGAGAAAATCAATGACAAACCTAGACAGCATCTTAAAAAGCAGAGACATCACCTTGCCAACAAAGGTCCGTATAGTTAAAGCTATGGTTTTCCCAGTAGTGATGTATGGAAGTCAGAGCTGGACCATAAAGAAGGCTGATCGCCGAAGAATTGATGCTTTTGAATTATGGTGCTGGAGGAGACTCTTGAGAGTCCCATGGACTGCAAGAAGATCAAACCTATCCATTCTGGTGCCCTGAGTGCTCACTGGAAGGACAGATCGTGAAGCTGAGGCTCCAATACTTTGGCCACCTCATGAGAAAAGAAGACTCCCTGGAAAAGACCCTGATGTTGGGAAAGATGGAGGGCACAAGGAGAAGGGGACGGCAGAGGATGAGATGGTTGGGCAGTGTTCTCGAAGCTACCAGCATGCGTTTGACCAAACTGCGGGAGGCAGTGGAAGACAGGAGTGCCTGGCGTGCTCTGGTCCATGGGGTCACGAAGGGTCGGACACGACTAAACGGCTAAACAAGAACAACAACAACAACATTACCATAAACTGAGATGAAACATAGGTGCCATAGCAGTTCATGTTTCAAAACCACATTCCATTTTACAAAGTTCCCATTGACTTCACTGAATGTGTCATACAGAAAAGATAGATGCTTTTTCCTAAATATATTGCGGGTGTACGATGAGGTCATCAGATTTGACCTCACAATGCCTTTTAAGTTGTAAACGTTAGCAGAAAATACATAATTCAGGGATCTACAACTGTCTGACGGTGTTCTACTACATTATTTATATAAAGATCTAATGCCCATTAATCCTTATCGTGCACAATGACTGTACATCTATCTCCTTAGTGCAAAGTTGTGTTCAGCACTTCCACAGTGAAGTAATCGGTTTAGAATGTATATTTACAGGCTGAATATGCCAATTAAGAAGCAGGAAACTTAACATTTATATGCTTTTACATCTCATTCTTCTTGAAGGGCATTCTGATTTAAGCTAATGAAGATAAAGTACTTCCCTCTCTCATCTGTTTCACAATCAGTTTTGTTTGTTAAAGCAGAAATTGGAAGTTAGAAAAAGTGTAAAGGATTAAAGTTTATTGCTTTAGCTTCAATGAGAATGTTATCAGAGCATAAAACAGGCAGATAATATTGTCTTCCCCCCACAGTTTCAATAAAGCAAATTTAGTGTTTTAAGTTGAGTTTTTTAACTTCAGAAGGTCCTTATTTCACAGAGTTGACCAAAATTAGAGTACCATGTTGAGCTATTACAGACAAAAAAATTTCCAGGGTTAGTAAAATAATCAGGTCAAATAAGTGTTTACAGTGCAGGTTTTGAGATTTCAAATTACACAGTAATATCCTATGACTGGATAGTCAAGAACAGTTTTTAAAAGGAAAAAATGTGGGGGTTTTTTGGGGGGGGGTTGCAGAAGCATGGTACTATGTCACATTTGTCTCTGTCTGCAGATTGCTTCAATCATAAGGGAGTGGAGAAAGCAATTGCAAACTTAATTAGGTTCAAGCTTTGCTGTATGAAAGTGTATTGAAATACTTAGACATGCTAGAATGAAGAAGCAATGGGCTTTATTCCATCTTAACAGATAATGCCTGTGATTTCTAAGACTTTGACTCAGTGCAGACAGAAAACTGGATCCCTAGAACTGAAGTTTATTCCCCTTTCCCTTCCTTTGTTAGCTTTAACCATGGTGTCTCATTGTGCTTGAACCAATCCTAATTGGTTCAATCTGATTAGGGCTAAACAGAATTTCCATCTGAATCAAGGATTGTAAGCTCACACCAAACCCTGGCCTTCTTTCCTGGCTAAATGGATGCAATTCTTGCTAAGCCTTATCCATCGTTAGCCTTGGTGCACATACAACACTGGGCAATGGCTAATGCACACAAGGCAATGATGGAATTTGCACAAGATTGGAGAAGAGACGGATGAAGGATCTTTGCTTTATTGACACAATTTAAAATGACTGGTTTGCAGGGAACCAGCATTATGTTTGCATGGGACACATACTTCCAGTCCCGGCAGTCTTTAGCATCATTGCTCCACTCCAGATACATAATCCAAGACCTGCTATGCAAGAGATATCTGAAAAGCTTTGAGCATTCATTAATTTCATTGTCATTTAAAGGTAAGAGTTAGTGATGGGCATGTTCTCAGAAGCTCCTCTTGGATTAATCTGGAAATTACCCAAGATCTTCACATCAAAATAATAAAAAAATCAGGTTTGAGAAGCCAAACAAGCAGCAACAACTGGAGGAGTGCCTTGGCTTCCACTGTGTTTGGCAAGAGCCGAGGTGTTCCTGTGCACCAGTTTCCCATGGCATGGGGAAAAGCCAATTGGCAACACTTGGAGGAGTACCGGAGCATGGCAGGCCAAGCCAGAAGGCGATGATTCCCCTTTGGACAGGGGTGAAAAAAATGGAACAGGCCTTGCCTGCCTTTTCGGTGTGAGTGGTTGGAAGTCTAACATTAAAATCACTTTGATTTATATCATTGATATGTCATAATGATCATGTTTCGTTTGGCCTCCAGCAACCATTCAGTGTTGTGTTCCATTCATGGAAAGAACCATATCTCAGACTGTTTCTTGCCATCCCATGAAAGATAGACCATTGAGGTCTTTCTGTGGGAGGCAATCTCTAAACAGGCAGCAGTGAACAGCATGGCAGTTAAGCCCTTATGTCTAAACGGAGAGTCTGGATTGGCATCTAGTGAAAGAAGGGCCAGAGCAGGGTTTGGGTTCAATGGTTAATCAATAACATTAGAAACTATTAAATATGCTTTGCCCAAGCCCACTAAGCTCCCACCATCAATGTATGAGGTCCCCTCCTATTGCCACCAGCATTGGGATGTTGCAGAGGTGGCACAAGAGAGCTTGACTGGATTCCAGTGCCAGTGAAACACTACCTTCATAAGATGTTTCACCCATAATTTAATCAGATGTCTTCATCTGTTGTTATGCCTAGGTCATTTCCCCGTGCCTTGTGCATGCCATTTGCATTTCCTACCTTGTAGTCCAACCCCTCTTTACACTGATTCTAACCAGTGGCTCTTCAGGATTTCTGAAAGTGGACTTTCCTGGTGGGACATTCCTAGCCCTAACTGCAGATGCTGGGGCTTGAACCTGGGACATTCTGCATGCAAAGCAGATGCTATGTCACTGAGCTACAGCTGAGGGTTGTTGGTTTTCCTTGCTGAGGACCAATAAGGGATAAACCCATCTCCTACCTACACCTTGAATTCTGCCCTTGAATGGGGCTAAAGGTGCTTCCGTAGGGAGAAAAAAAAATAGAAGGGTTCAATCTAAGGAAACTTTTCTTCTATGCAATGTAAGAGTGCTCTGTTCCTCCATTTCTTTGCATAGGAAAAATAGGCAATTGATCACCTACTTTGATTTTAATATGAGCTGGAAAATAATTCAGGTATTTCTAAGCCTCACCTCCCTTTGGAAGCAGGCTTTAACGAGTTCCCAAAGTTCTTTTCCAAATGTGGCTCGGGAGAACTTCTCTGGCAGACTCAGTAAGAATATTTGGGGCCTAAAGGATATTTTCTGCAGAGGTGGTTTTTTTTGTTTTTAGGCTGGCCTGACATTACAGCAAACCATTTACCTCAGAAGCATTTGCAGAGGGCAAGGTGCCATACTCAGTTTTAAAATTGCTAAATATACCTTCACCATGACATTATGGGCAAGATGTGCATTTCAAGTAGGGAAACAAGTATATCGTAGATAATAAAAAAAATATATCCATGTAATGGCCATTTATTTTTTACATTATTCTTTCCACACCTGTCCTACCTCTTATATCCAATGGCAGAATCTGAGAAATACTAAGATGAATATATTATAACGCAAGAAATATGCATTATTACAGGGGCGAATTTATGGCAGTGCCAGTTTGCCTGCACAGGAACCAAATGGAGGGGAGGAGAGGGGAGTGGTGAGATCAGTTCCCTCACTCAGTAGGTGGACCGAGAGGTAGGACTATCCCCATCCCATGTCCCTCTCTTATGCATGGTAACAGCAAGGCAGGTAGTGAGACTGGAAGCCAATGGTGAATGATTTTCGTTAGGAGTTGACAGCTTTCTCTCTTTTTTGGAGAAAAGAGGAGGCAATTTCTAAACTTTGAATTTTTCTTTATGCTTGAGAAAGATGGATAGAAAATCCAAAGAGCTCCCTCTGACTTTCTTTGTGAATTTTTTTTTCCTGGGAGGGAGAATCAAGCTGGGGGGAAGGAGAGGAAAAATGGAGAGGAGAGGCTAGGATAGGAGAAGACATGGGGAGAAGAAGGGAGTGCCAGCCTCCTGTTGCACCATCTGGGGGAGGGGCATAAAATTTTGGCCTCTCACGGGATGCCATATTACCAAATTCCACCCCTGCTTATTATAATCTTCCTGTGACTAAATGCAAATAATGTTGACCAGATCATAGCTCTCAGATTCTTAAGGAAGAATTTGTTCTATGCAGAATTTGTTTTCTGAAATTTAAGAGATTAAGAAGGGAAAATGTATTGTTACAGCAAAATGTTCTCCGTAGGGGTTGTTTAGCAGATTATTTCTGAGTAACAACACTATAGATTTCAGCTACAAGAGCCATCAAAACACAACTGTAAAAACCTGCCTGAAGGGCAGCTTTCTATAGTTACCACAGGGAAAAAAGAATTGCTTTACGTAGATCAATTTAGTGTCTTCTAAACACTGTATGTTGAATGTTGGGTCTCTTCTGATGATTCCAGTTACAGAGTCTAGAGTATAATTGTGCCTGAGGTCTAGTCATCATTGAGATGGTAGTCCATTTTCTGGGCTCCTGAGAATGCTCATGTGGTTGAATGCTAGTTTGTACAAAAATTACCTCTAGCATTCTCCCTCACATTTGGTTTTCTGTCTGCAGGGATTTAGATGAACCAATTGGCTGTCTCAATTTAAGGCAGCTTCATGTCTTGGTTCTAATTAGTAGATCTGGCAAGAGTAAGAAGAAGAAAAAAAACATTGACTTGGGATAGATGGGATTGGTGTCATATGACAATTGGAAAAAAACTTCTTACAAATGTAATTTTCTTTGCAGTGCTATATCATATGATCAGGCTTTACTAATGCAGATTACATCAACTGGCACAGCAGGATCTTTCCTTTTGTTTCTTTGTTTGAACATCTGGCAGACTCAGGTTCTTGCAACCAGCAATTTATACATAGTTTGTTCAAAACAGGTTAAATACATAATACATTTACAGATATTTTCTTCTTCATAGACTCTGGAATTTCATGAAATGTAGTAACATTATTTCACTGGCACATTGTGCTGTGGCATATTTGAGAAATGTCCTCATAATAATTCACCAGGAAGTGGTGAAAAATTACAGAGATCCTGAAGAGACAAGTAAAGAAAATAAGTCAGCAATTTGATGCATGCTTGCTTGAGAATACGTCCCAATGCACACAGTATGACTTATTTCTAAGGAAACATTCATTGGACTTGGCTGTACAAATGTTATGCCAGAGCAAGCCTTATTTAAATCATTAAAGCAAAACTGGACAGTTTGGAGTCAATGAAAATTGTATTCTTGAATAACTAAAAAACATAATATGATTATAATTAAAATAGTCTTTCAAAGAAAGTTTGTGAAAATGCTAGCTGATGAATGCCTTTTGTTGTGCCTAATATTATCTACAACAAGTATGCAGGGAAATAGAAGGATGTTGCAATCAATGACAGACATAAGACCAATCAGCAAAACCTGTTCCATTTCAAAAAGTGGAATAAAGAATTAGAGATGCGGAACAAATCTGACAGTACAGGATGATATATGAGATTGTGCTCTGTAGAAAACTTAATTTGTTTTATCTCTTTTGATCTTTTCTTACTTTTTTTGCATAGTGTAAATATTGTAAAAAATAATGAAATTTTAGTTTTACTAATGAGTTTTTTCCTGACCACTTCACAGGTAAATTATCCAGAGTGACGAGCAGCACATGAAATACAGAGCTATAATATAGTCCAAGATCAAACGATTTTTGGCTTAAGAAAAGGCCCTTAGAAACACATTCATACACCAAAGAGCATGAAAATTGTACATTAATGCCCCTCTCTTAACTTCTAGGCTATGTAATATGTATATATATTAAATAGCTTCATATATCATGATCGTTCGCAACTTAGATTCCATGTGTTAGGAAACATTTTGCCGTCCTCTTCCAATCCCTGTCTGTTCCTGTTAAACAGTGAGCTATAATGCAACGAAATCAATCATGGCTCTGTCTCTGTTGTTGCTTCCTGCTTCTAGCCCAGCTCTCTCACATGACTCTGGCTATTGCCCTTCTCACTACCAGCCATGTGATGAAGGGGGCCTACCCATTTCCCCTCTGGCACAGAGAAACCTCCTTTAATATACTAATAACTATACTTGTGCTGGTACTTAGGTGGCAAGTAGACCCTTCCCTGGCTAATTCAACAATGGGATCCTCCATTAGATTTTAACACTTGCTGTTTCCAGGGAATTAGAAGCAACCTCAGGCATCATACAGACTGGCCCCCGCTCCCAAACTCACCACAATATATTCTTTTTCTTCTGGATGGATGACTGTAAAAGTAGTGCCTGCCTACTCTTTTAAAATTAACAGGTGAGGCTCTTCTCTGCATCCTGACAGTGGTGAAGGTGTGACTGGCTGGGATGCAGAATCGGGCCTTCTCTGTGGCCATGGCTAAATTTAAAACTCTCTGCCTTGTGCTTTCAACTGCCTAGTCAATACAAGTTCTGGCAAGCAGCGTTGGTGCATCTTTAGCAGACTGACCTCTTGTTTTAGGTTGTTTTTATATATTGCTCCTGCCTCTAGCAATTAATGGTTTGCTGTCTTGCTAATGTTTTGTGAATGGATTTTTGTAGTTGTCTTTTGCGTTGTTTGCTGCCCTGAGAATCGTGAGAAGGGCAGGATATAAATCTGCTGAAATATATTGGTAAACAACCATTGCATTTCCGGGCTTGAGGGGTTAGTAGAAATGAGATTCAATCCCCTGAATCTAAGACTGTAAACACATTTGCTGGTTTAAAGCACAGCAAGGTTATTCTTCTTCTCAATTCAGATCAAAGCTGATTTGGGATAAATGTATCAAAATGCAGTGTTTTGTAAGATAGGCAGGATAGATCCAGGTTAGATATGAGTTGTGGCTAATATGGGTGGATCATTTCCCAAGTCAGTGGTGGGAGTTCACTGGATGCAGAGTGAACAGGAATCTGCACACAGCCCAAGACACTGTCAGTCAACTTAAATCTTGCTTTCTGTCCTGCTAATGAAGCACCACTCTGTTTTGAATTATTCAGCTGAGAGAGTGATAGTTTTGTTGGTTTTAGTATACCAGATATGCCGGTTTGGATCTTGAAGGCATCTTCTGATGCCCTTCTCCAGATGTCTACATCAAATTAGATATGATGAGTAGTTGTAAGAAAGAAGAACTTTTATGTTTGTGTAAAGTCTCCCTAGAGAGGCTAGCCTGATAACCATGTTATGAACCATTAAGCAAAAGTTGGAGACCTTGGCATTTCTCAGAGTTTTCAATATTAAACCTTTTGAGTAGTTTTCATATCCTTTGGATATTCTTGTACTTTTAAAATCCATGACAATTAGGTGCTGCTCTGAGCTCTGTTAAATTGGTTTTATTTTCTGCTACTAGTTTTCTGCTGTATTAGTTTTGATGGTTTTATAGTCTTGTTTTAATTTTTATTGGATACTACCCAGAAAACCTATGTTGTCATAATATCATTGAAGGATAGGAAGACAGCTAAATATGCTCAATAAAAACGTATTTTAATTTACCATTTGCTTTCCACAAATGCACCTGAGCTATTCCCACCTTTACTTCATAAAATTTATATATCAGTTGATTGTAGAAAAAGAACTTCAAAGCTGGGTGAACATTTTCAGTTGGGTTGGTATTTGGACTTTTATGAAACACATTCTGATAGGTTTCACAACTTTTTCCTTGAGTAGCTCCATTACATAAGTTGGGTTGTTGTTTTTTTGCCTGAATGGCCATAAAGTTGCACTACTGATGTAATTTCATTCTACCATGTAATTGTTTTACTGAGTGATGTTCTGGGGTTACTTTAGAGTTCAGTTACTAAATTAAATCAATTTAGTTATTAATTACCATTATAATAGAATACAATTAATATAAAAATA